TCAAAGATAGTTTTCTTTTTTTTCTCAAAAACTATTGCTCAATCCAATATTTTCATGACTCAAATAAATACTTGTCAATTATATATATCATTCATTGTTTGATCGTCTATTCATCGTATTTTTTCAGGCTCAGTTTAATCCTTGTTTTTTTCTATAATCCATATTGCTATTATTTTCAGTAAAAAATAGGTTAAATTTTCGAATGTGAGTTCTTCTTAGTAAAATTAAACATCATTTTATACTTTGCATTTGAAAATTTATCATATTTATTCTGAGATTAAGGTTGACATCCATCATTCGAAAAGAATTTCATCAGATCCAGAAAACTTATTGGCAGGGATTCACTATTTTAAAGATATTCTTTTAGTTTTATTTAGCTGCTGTTTTAAAAATAGCAATGTTCTTGACGTCATTTTAACATTTTCACGTTAATGCTGTGATGAGTAATAGAATGTATTGCGTTATGCATATTTCTTAGGCGTGGCTTTTAGTCATAATCGACGAAATGACGTCCCAAATATATCTTTTCTTTTGTAGGTATCATTCGAAAATGCTTTTTTTCATTCCTCATGACGAATATTGCGTCGTGAACAAACGTGTACGATATGCATGCCTCATTGATTTCAGTAGAACGAAAGGTTTTGTCATGCATTACTTCTTTAATGGTGATCTACATATATATAAAGACGAGAACACAGCTGTATCATCATAATCACTAACATTTTCACTATACATTAGATCGATAAAAAACATAATCTAATATTTATTGCTATTAACGAAAAAAAGAAATGCAAAAGACCATATACATATTTATTGCTATCGCAATTTTTGCTATTGTTTTATCAGTTTGCATCGCAGACGATGCCAAACAATCATGGGTCGACGACTTCCCCAGAATGTCTGAAATGATTGGAAAAATGCGTGTTCGTCGTTGTCTTCGTTGTCCTTCTTCTTGTGGTTGTTCTGTTACTGGTCTTTGTTATTGTGGTTATGATCTTCAGAAATAAACCAGGTATATTGTTTTACTAAGTAGTAGTTTCCATTTGAATTTATTATATATTCCTTTTACTTTCAGGAAATATGGTGCATCCATATTCAAAATCTTCATTCAAGGTTCTAACTTGGCATTGCTCAAGCCATCAACAAACACTTTTCACTTTTTTCGTTCATTTTTATATTTTTCTTTTTCATTTTCCTAATTTCAATAAAGATTTAAATATCAAAATAAAGATTTGAATCAGTGTGATAGCTGCAACAAATATCATTCATTTATCTCATAATTAGAAAATGATTGCTATGAGTGTGGGATATATGCATTCATATATATTTATATATATATTGGTATTTTCACAAAAGACAGTAAATAAAAAGAGAATATTACATCATGTATACCAGTAGATTGAAGACTGAGATATACATAGAAAACACCAAAGGAAAAGAAAATGTTGAATATATTAACTTACGAAAATTCAGATCGTTAAAATTAACTTATGAGAGATATAGTAATAAATAGTGATACAGAAAAAATATTAATAGTCACAATATATGTTAAACTTTTGAGAGTATTTGTGTTGCTTTGCTACTGTTTTTGATCCACGCTGAACATTAATATTTATTTGTATCAACATGTATTTAAATCGATACTCCTTACCTTAAAAGCAATCAATCAATAAACAAATATTGGGACAAGATCTTTCAATACGATGATGTAATCGATCATGAAAATCCATAGAGAAATTTGATTGTATATGGAATAGTAAAAAAAGCAGTTACTTTTGTATATGTTATTTATACAAGGATAAATGAATTTCTTTCATTCATTTATTATCGAAATAGAACAATAAGTAATTCAAGTTTTCTTTAACATTATCTGATGAATTTATATGTAAATCGTCAAATACAACTGGAACTTTGTCTTCTAGGGATAAAGCTAAAGTATCGTTATCATCAACATACTCCTACATCTATCTTGTCATTTGGCAAATCATCAACAAGTAACTCTCGTCGCTACGCCTCACTTGACTTCCGACTGAAGGTATGCGTATGGAAAATTTAGGATGTCTTGTGAACATAATTCTTGAAAATATTAAAAGTATGCATGCATATTTTATTTAATATTATTTAGATGATTCATAATGGCATATATTCAAAGCCTATTTTGAATAGTTTTTATGTCCAATGATCGTTGTTATGTGCAAGTTATAACAAGTACTTCAAAAGTTGATGTTGTAAAATCGTCGTTAATGCATTGTGATACTGCAGAAAGATCATGAAAAGTGACTTTTAAATTCATATTTCTAGCTCTTTCTGAAAATTCTATCAGAAGATATATAGCGATCTTTGCACCCACCCTCAGGAGGGTGTGGGTGTAGAGTAGAATAGACACAGACACTGACACCCACACATCGTATTAGATTTGCAAAGTATTAACAGTCTATACGATGTAGTCACTAGAGCCTATCAGTTTGACTCTGGGCGAGTTCGAGTTCGAAAAATTTGAATTCGAAGTGCTTCTAGTGGTTACACTTCAAAATTTCAGAGTCATGGATTTTTCTGTTTCTCATAATGGTTGAACAGAGCTCAGCGAGTTACATTGGTAATAGACAGAAAATTCTGACTGTTGTAAAAAAATCACTTTTAAATATGTATGATATGTTTTTTGTTTCTTACGTAATCCTCCGAGTTTCATCCATCTGTGAGTAAAAAAGACAAATGAATACTGCTGAAATTTTTAAGTACAGCCACATGGGATAGACTTTGAAAAAACTTGCAAGTCGGCCTGTCCACGTAACGGTACACCTTAGTGGATGAAGTTGACCTACTCAATTACTCGAAACCAATATGATCATCGTGTAGAGCGATGTCGATAATATATGGAAATATACTTTTTATTTACATAGTTACGGCATTTCTTAGAAAAAACTGCGCTACGAAAGAGATCTGTCTTAGAAGCGAGAAAAGTCAATGTTTATTATGGATTCTTATTTGAAGATTTTTTATATAAATAAATATACCTTATTCAAAACCTCTCACCCCAACTAACGATGCTTTCGATACTCTACTCAATAATAGGGTTTGGGTGTGGGTGTGGGTGGGTATGGGTGGGTGTGGGTGAGGGTGAGGGTGTGGGTGTGGGTATGAGCGTGGGATGTGGGTGTGGACGGGTGTGCGTGTGGGTGTGGGTGTAAGTGCGGGGTGTCGGTGTGGGTGTGGGTGTAAGTGTGGGGTGTCTGTGTGGGTGGGTGTGGATGTGGGGTGTGCGTGGAGGGCGTGGCTGTGAACGTGGGTGTGGGGTGTGGGTGTGAGTGTTGATGTTCTCATTCAACTCATACACACCCACCCACACCGAAATCCGCATCTAATCTACACCAA